GGTCTTGTGGCGTCCGCAGAATCGGAGTTTTGGCCGGCTGATCTTTGGTCGTGTTGCTTCCTTGCTGCTAATAGTAAATCTTAATGCGCCCACCCCTGTACAATACGCCGCCACAATGTATTATGACGATCCATCTCCGAGGGGTTGATTAGTTAGTCACCGGTGTCCATTGCAGCCATTATACCCTTGATCCCTTTGCATGGAAATGTGATCCTGCCCCACCTTAGCCTGTAGAGTCCCCGCGCAGGCACTGCTTGGGACTGCACTGGGTGCTCACCTCACGCAACTGCCAGGACTTTGTTTTCGGAGAAGTTTTTTGGGTGAGTCTGCACATCGGATGACCCTAGCGCCAAAACCCACTCGAACGGACCAAGTGGACCCATCCCTCCCCCGGAGAGTCCGAGTGGGTGCCGAAGCCCTACTGTAGTTTAGGGTTTACAGAATGTCTTGTTTCTTGCGATGACGGCCTGTCCGTGTACAACTGAGTTTTCAGCTTGCTTTTATAACCCTATCAATCATCCTCCAGTTCTTGCAAAAGCTTATTCATCTCTAGATGATATCAGACAGCTAGTGCTGTACTATACTAGCTGGACTAGACTACAAGGTGCTAGAATATACAATAATGTACTGCCATATGGGGTGCCTGGGAACTCCGGCTAGTACTCAGGCCGTAAAGCCGCAGCTCAATCTCAAAGGTTGCATTGCTGCCCGGCCCGCAGGAGATCTCGCCAGACCTCTACATGTCCGTCAAGGTTTGGGCTCACCTTGCGCACTAACCTTTTTTTCAACCCCAAGGGACCAACAATTGAACACGTTGGCTATAGTGTGTGTGTGTGTGTCAGGGTCACATGAAAGCGACTTCGAAGGTTCACACCAGCAAAGGACATCATGTCCGAAACCGACACGCGGCAAAGTGACCAACATACCGAAATGCTATAAGCTTCTTTCAAGCCCTGAAGAATAGATCCCAGGCCCGGAACCCAAACCGCCTCTGATCCTCGCAGACTGAAGACAGCGGCGGTATAAGAGGATGCCCTAAACCCAAAACCCCAAACC